CATGTTTCAGCTGGAGGCCATTCCCAACAACACAGGCTAAACTTTCCCTCGTGCTGGTGCCAAGTGCCCCACAAACCAGAAAACACTTCTCTCATGCCAATCTTTGAGCCATGCAATTATCTCATTAATCTGCTTGGGTCTTTCCCAATTTATATATGGTTCATGTAATAACCCAGAGATCATGACCTGTTGAGGTTTGCTTCATAATTTAATGCCCAGGTCTTTATACTGATGATGCCGAGCCCTCTTTGTCCTGCCTACATTGTTGGTACCTACATGGACCATGATAACTATCTTTCAACACACCCCCCTCGTCAATTCCTCTGACCATACTTACCCAACAAACAGCACATTCCTTTTTGATTTCCCACCACCTGAATGGCTTCCTGTATCATGGTCATTTAGTTCATCCACTGTCATCCAGACAAGCTGAAAGAGTCTCCAGCCCTTTGGGTTCCCTTATGCCTCATGCTCTGTCAGTCACCTTGAACACTGACCAAACCACAAGACTCTATCCTATGAGGTGTACCTGCCTCCTGCTACAAAAAATCTAGGAAATTTGCCCCTCTCTAATGTGTCACAGTTTCTTTAGTTCAGCTGCCCTTGCGTAAACTCCTGAAAATGCTCAAAATTCAAACATTTACCGCAGACATGTTTATATTAGATCGCACTGGCACCTAGGAATACTCTCAGCTGTGCTGTGGTACATCACTTGTCTCGCCTTTCTTGACAATCCTAATGAACTACTTAATTATTTTAATCAATTGTACATTTACTTATATTTTAGGGGTGATTTTGTAAAGGTGGTCAAAGTCATCACTAATCTTGAACAAAGAAAACAGGAGAAACTGTTCCCAGTGGTTTTAAAAAAAATCCTAGGTAAAGGGCATAGACTTAAAGTATTTGTCAAAGAGCCACAGACAACACTTGGAAACCGAAATTTATGATTATGATCTGAAAAGCATTGCTTGAAAGGAAGCAGATTCTGAAAAAAGGAAATATCTGAAAAAGGAAACTGGGGTGAACTTAAGGAATAATGACCTACTTGGCTGCTATCTATGACATTGTTGAAAAAATTAACTACTTTTTTTTGATGCTTTGAACAAAGCTGTTTAAATAATTAAACTGGTGGTTCGGTTTGGTTCCCAAGACAGAATTAATTAAGTTACTTGTTTTGCTGACAAAAAAGGAAGATTAATGTAGAAGTGGATGATTTGAAAGATGCTGAGTTGGTGTTGTACATTTTTGTATGGTACAGACTACAGCCAATTGTGCATGAGTGGTGCAGGGTATGGACGTTTATGTTGGTGGAAGCTATACAGATCAAGTGGACTGCTTTGTTCTGAGACTAGAGGAAAACTAGCACAATGTATTGTTCAAAACTTTCTGATCAAACTTGGTTGCCTGTTAAAGCTCTTGTGCCCAAATGAACCAGACTAATGTTATAGGAACCTCGAAGACAATTAGAAGAAACCTGTCATTTATGATTAACCTGATCCTACAGTGTGACCAGGTTTGAAAACATGACAGACTTCCAGCATGATGCCTTTCTAAAATAGCACAAAGGGTCATTTGAAAGGTGATTTTCACTGAAAGTTCCACATTCAATGAGATACACCAATATTTGGGTGAATTACAGTAATTACAAACAGAGCAACTGTACCTGTTTACATGCTTTTGACAAATCATTGAAACTTGCCTGCGAGCAATTAATCAGTTCTGTTTGTAGCAAATAGTCATTAATTTTTCTGGATTTACACTTGCAGCACATGTTAGTGTACCAGAACTAGTTAATAATCCTGGGATTTCTTCTCTCATCTTTTACCCTTACAAATTAAACAGGTCCTTATGCAGATGGGATAGATTTCTTTTTTTTAAATTCATTAAACTTCAGTTACCAGGATTTTGAAAATTGGCCCAATTTTTGCAACAGGAATGGTGCTGAAACTGCCTGTGCTTGTTGTCATTACTCTTTTAAACCTTGTAGCAATCTCTTGAAACCACACACAAGTAGTTAAAAACAGAAATCCAGAAATTGCTGCCAGTGTTCCCTCCAGACTATATGTGCACGCAGCCGTGCACCAATCAACAATGTGCCACACAAGGAACAAACAGACCAGACATAAAATGCTCCCTACAAGAAGAGTCAGTGCACAACCATACTCCAGTCTTAATGTGACAAGCTGCCTTTGTGTAGCAAACAGAATTTAAAGGGAGCATTTGTTGCTGGCAGGTATTCTCCAGGTAGTTCTCCATAGGAAGTGGTGTTGAACTCCTCATTGTCTGCATTCAATTAGAAGTCACTGAACTGACAAGAACTTTCTCTTTTTATGCTGTTTTCCAGTTGTGAAGAATAAAACCTTGAAAAAAATTGCACTTTGTTGAATGTGGTGTGTTTGGATTTTTAGCATTGTAATGAATTTGTAATTACTGCTAGAAATCCTCTCTTGGTGAAAAAACTAATTTCATATTTGTAAAATATTAAATTTCTACATAATGATTTTAAAAAAAATCTACATTTTAAAATTAGTTTGGTTAGTTTTGATATTTTGGTTTCTCCTTTAATTTCAATTTTATGTCCCAATGTTTTATTTCACTCCATCTTTCACTTTTATTGTAATTTTAATCAGTGCATTTTAGATTATAATGTGTGATCTTGGAATACTTCAGTGTGATTGACTGACTGATTGCTGTTTACTATATCAATGGAGATCACTTGGCTTGATGCCAGATTCAACTTTCTGTTATTTTTATTACAAAGATGTAATTTGTTCATTTAAAAAAAACTTTATTTACATAGTCACTAAAGCAGTTCAGTTTTGTCCAGTCTTTGCATATGGAGAAAGAAACAAACGTTGGAGTTTGTTTCCCGACGGTTCCAATAAACAAACCCAAGGCATTTTTTACACATGCAAGATAGTATTTACATATATTTGAGGCGCTGGGAGGGTTCGATAACTGAACGGACCCCCATTGTACTTTATTTATAAAAATCTCTTTGTATATATACATTGTCACAATACAGATTGATTCTGTACAGTAGCATATCAAGTAAACAAACAAACATTGGAATTTGATTCTATCCAAAAAAACCAAAGACCTATCTTACACATACAATACTATGTTTCCGAAAGGACTCCTTTTTTATTTCAAAAATATACTTTAATCATTAAAAATCACTTTGCATATATACATTATCACAAAAGCAGTTTGGTTCTGTACAGTAGCCTAGCAAGTAAACAAACAAAACATTGGACTTTGACTCTATCCAAAAATCCAAAGATCTCTCTTATAGAGAACTGTTCTGAGGAAGGGTCACCGGACCCAAAACGTTAACTGTGTTTTCTCCTCCACAGATGCTGCCAGACCTGCTGACCTTTTCCAGCAACTTTGTTTTTGTAGGCCGTTAATCCCCCTTTATCGTTTAACAAGATCATGTGACCTATGTCTATGTACAATATATCCCTGAGGTGTAAAGATTGTGTTTTGTATCAGTTAATAATTTTACCATTCTTTACATTAGTTACAAAGCTCAAAAGATTGAAGTTTGTTCAAGTATATTTGTAGCTGTAGAGTGTTAGACTTGCAGTTAGGGGTTAGGATGAGAACTCGAGGGGGAGATGTGTCTCTTGTCAACTGATAATTGAGTCCTGCTGTGCTTAGGCTACAGCCTCACAGGATTAAACAAAAACAGGCATTTGGGCTTTTGTCTGTTTCTGTCCCTTCTGTGCTTTTCACTCCTCTTATGAAAAGTATATATTTTTGACAAAATCAATAAGACAATGTATTCTTCCATTGTAAAACCATCCTTCTCTATAGACTCAATAAAATTATTATTTTTCATGATAACTATTGAAAGAATTAACAAAATATGCATTGTACATTCACAAAAATTGGATTGAACAAGAACATCAAAAATGCATGTTGGAGGAGACCATTTGACTCCTCGAGCCTGCCTGGCTGTTTAATAAGATGAGGGCTACTTTTGCATCTGCCACACTGCCACCAGTGTGCCCTTTACAATTAGCCCTTGACTTCTTTGTAGATCAAAAGTCTGCCTTAAATATATTCAGTGATGCAACCTCTCCTGCTCGCTGGGGAAGTGAATTCCAAACACTAATGAGCCTCTGGGAGAAGGAATACTTGATCATTTCCATCTTAAATGGGTATTTCCTTATTTTGCAACTGCCCCAACTAGTTCTATTTTCTCCAAAGACTTTTTTTGCTGTCATCTCCGGTGGCATGTGATTTTTTAAAAAAATCTGAATAATTTTAAACCATGTTTAAAAAGTGACATAATGGCGAGCAATTCTTAACTACTTTTAACATGATCATGACAGGAGCTGGGTGGAGAAGAGTGAGATGCTTTTAATACCTGAATAACAGACCTCCCTTATGCTGGGCTATATGCCAAGATTATTACACTATCTTATGATGGCCTTTATTAAAAAGAACCAGTTCATTTTAGTTTACCTTTCTGCAGTTAGAACTTGCTCGGAGTAACAAATCTTCAAGTAAGTGATTCAACACTCTTTCCGTCCCTCTGCTCTTTAAAACCAAATTCCAAAGCCCTGCTTACCTTGATCAGCTCTAACTCCTTGCATATTAAAATCCCTGGAATTGTAGGAAAATAGCTAAAAGTCTTGCCTGCTGATCCCTGCTGAACTAAGGACAAACAATATTTAACTCCTCTGGAGCCCATTAAAGCATGCTACAACTTCCAGATTTTGGCATAAGTACAATTTCTGGAGATTGCAATGCCGCTCCCGTCCTCGTGAGTAGCAAATATAACAGTGTTTGCTATTAATGGAATCAGAAATCTAGGCCATTGTAAAAACAGCACATTTTATTTTGGAGTGTAAACAGAAATGCCCAATATCATCTACTGCAGCTTATCAGAAGGTTGACTTGCATTGTATATTAGCTCTGCACTTTGGTAACTTCAAACAAAAATATTTAGAAAGCTGTTAATGTCTTGTTTAAATAAATTCTTATTCCAGGCCTTTGGATTTATGACACGCGTGGCTTTACAGGCAGAGAAACTGAATCATCACCCTGAATGGTTCAATGTGTACCACAAGGTAATGTGCATGTTTTTAGATTGACAGCAAAATGGAGCACATTCTATAAGTATAAATCACTTGCTCTACAATAATGTGCAATCCATTAGTCTGAAACACAGTTTTACATCTAGCAATGTGTGTTCAGGTGCATTATATATCCCCTGCACTCAATCTGTGTTTTCCTGTGAAACAAAAATCACACAAATCTGCATGTAAAACTTTGAATGACACTACAAACCTTCACTAGTGTTCTCAGATATACTGCTATCTTGGTTAATGTGCTACTGCTGGTTGGCTCAATCTTTCCTTTGATGTTTGTTATAGAGATCTGCACAGGAGGATCAAAGCAGCTTAGCCATTAGTAGTGCTGTTGCTAACAACATTGTGTGCATTTAATGCAGCTTTTAGTCCATCCAGACCATCACCAATTTAAACTTAAGATTAGAGTAAGTGCTATCGTTGGAACCCATTACATACACTTCACTACACCCACCCCCAGCCACCATCACCACCACCTTTGTCATAATTTTCTTATGCTTTTGTACTTCTGGGGAGTCCCATTCCAGCCTATGCAGATTGTTTTATTGTTTCCTATATTTTGGTTCACTACTAGTCTTGTTAACCTACAGAGTAGATCTAATATATATGATAATGCTAGCAAAAAGTACCAGAGGCATTTTGTAGTGAACAGTATCATTTAGAATGGAATTTTATTCTAAGTCAAAAGAATAAACTGCAGATGCTATAAATTTGCATCAAAAGCATGGAGTCCTTAACGTAGTAAGTTAGGAAACATCTGAAGTGAAAGGAAAACTATTAACCTTTCAGGCACAGCCTTTCATCAGAACTGGAGGATATAAGAAGGCACACTGAGGGAAATGGAGGAACACCTACAAAGGAAAGTAAAGAAAAAGCCATAAAATGATGGGGTATAGTAATGATGAGAGTGATAACAACATCAGACAAAAGGTCAGAGAACCAAGAGGCATAATGTAAAAGATACATAGCATCTTTCATAGCCACAGAATATCTTAAAGTGCTTTTAGACTATAGTTTGTTGTTCTGTAAGAAACAACACAGACAATTTATGTATGTTTCCAGTCGTCAGCACACTGGTTGAAAGATGATTATGGCCAGGAAACTGGGAAGAACTCTCCTGTATTACTTTGGGATAATACCATGGGATCATTTTTCGATCTACTTGAAGGGGTAGAACATGTTTCAATTTAACATCTCAACCAAAAAATGGCACTCCTAGCAGTGCATTGTTCCTTTGTTACAGCACTAACTATTTCAGTCTGATTTTCATCCTTTGTTACAATTGTGTAGAGCTTACGCAATAATACGGAACATGTAAATTCAAGTGATAGTGCTTTCAGGTCATGGAAGTGGAACATTATATCTCATGCAAGAAGAGTTTTCTACAAAATAAATAATGTTAGACCTCCAGCAAAAAAAACCTATAAGGCATAAGTTGCTGGAACAATTGGTTGTTATGTGAATATCTCCTCATAATGTTCAGAATTACGGGATATGTCTAAAGAAAATTGAATCCTTTTAACTAGCAGTGAAAGTGAAAGTCAATTTGGTTTTTATTTGTGCGTCTGGCCAGTAATGATATGGTAGGATCTGATTTTGCTCCAATTTGATACCAATCATAATCAGATATTTGGGGGAACAGAATAGTGAGAAAATAGTCTGTTATGGAGAAAGGAGCTTCTGACTACAGGTTAGAACTGATGCATGTAATGTCTTTACAGCAGCATTCCTTCTGGTTTTTCAATGGGCAGGTAACACAATGCGAGGAAACATTTCAAAACAATTCTTTTGGCTAAGGAAAATCAATTGTTACATTTATGTACTTATTAATATTTTTAGATGGTAATTTTATGACTTCTTTTATAATACCAATTTGCTCGTGGTCACAAAGGGATATTTAGTTTGATGAGTTGAGGGTCAGTTGAATAGGAGTTGGGTCTCGCACAAAATGAGATTGACTGGTATCTTGGGGAAAAAGGAAAAATAGAGCTGGTTCATAGCTGGACAGTTATGTACTGCAGGGGCAGGTTTGATTTGGGAAGTGGAGAAATAGCCATGGCAGCTAATCTAGATTTTTTTTTATGTTGAATGAAAGTTGTCCAGGACATTGAGAGCTACCCTGCTTTTAATGTTGACATAAGATCTTCAACAGCTCAGGAACCCAGTTTAATACCTTTGGTCAAAAAATGGTGCCTCTTACAATCTACATTTGCTCTAATTTTTCCTGCCATTGCACAGACTCCAAGGTCCATGCTTGGCAGCAGCTTCTGGAACTATAAGTCCTGTGCATTCACCCACAAATGATGTGAATGGACCCTCCAAGAGGCCACACAGTTTAGAGGAAACGTTGCTGACAATATAAAACTAAGGATTGCATTGAAGTGTCAGTTTGTCATTTCAGCTTTGAGCTGGAGCTTGAATTGTTGGTCAAATACTTCTAAATGGAAATTAGAGCCAAAGTGCTGGAGTACAGTCACAAACTGTAGCATTTTTAATAAATAAAATTCACATTTTCATGAAAAGTACTGATAGAGCTGCACACTAGAAACTTTAGTTGTATACTCCCTTCCACACACCCAGTATCAGTTAAATTGTCAATTGGTAGATAAAGGAGTGTAGAGTGACACTTTCGCACATTAAGCAGGTTACTGTTTCTTTTATGTTGGAAGAATAATTAAAGGGAAAGTTAGTTTTGTTTATATACTGATGTCTTTTTACTGAAGAAATTTTTCAGGCCTTTCCTTTTTCTTTGGATGAGAGCCTTCTTGTCTCCACTTGTAGTAAAAACAGTCAGCAACTTTTCATCACTCTTTTTCTGCTTTATTTTCCCATCCTTCAAAAACCACAGATGCCACACACAAGACTTCTCAAAGCAATTGCTCCAATGAAAATAATAGGCAAGCAGAAAGGAAATTCTGAAATTGACACTTCCTGCAGGACGGTTAAGGTGGAATGGTGAATCTACTTGATGAATTAACATTCTGTATTTCATTCCTCCCCAGGTTCAGATAACACTTTTGACACACGACTGTGGTGGTCTATCCAAAAAAGATGTCAAATTGGCAAAGTTCATCGAACAGGCAGCTGCTTCAATAAATTAGTTATTTTTATGCTTTTAAAAAGGTTCATTATGAAATGTGAATTCTGAAGTGATGCTGAGCTCCTTAAAGCAGGTGAGAAGCATTCAAATTAAAATACTGAAATAGGTCATCTTGAATTTAAAGAATATACCTTAAAATATTTGCATCACAGGTGCTGAAGCTGGAACTGCAGTGAGTGCAAAGTTATTTTTTTAATTCTCTGTTCTCTTATCAACACAACATATTATGTAAGAAATGTTGAAACAATAAAGAAACAAGAAATTTGAATATATCAGTTCAGGAGTATCAGACTTCCCTTGAACCTGAGAGTTGGTGTCTATAATATTGATTTATATAAAGAAAAATTGCATTTGCTGGGTTTGGTTTGTGTCATATCATATAATAAAGACAAATCCACTAATATTAAAATGCACTTCTTGCAGTAACTATATATTGAATATTAAGGGTGAGGTTTTAACTCTCGTTTACAATGAACCCACTTGCACGTTTAAAATCAGGTTCCTTGTTGTTGACGCACTTTCTGCATTCTGTTCTATTACCCTGATGTACTTATGTAAGGTATGATTTGTCTGGTTAGCATGCAAAACAATACTTTTCATGGTATATGTAGCTATAATAAATCAAATATTTTTAATTTGATTTGATTTATTACTGCCACATGTACCAAGATACCATGAAAAGTATTTTCTTGCGTGCTAACCAGACAAATCGTACCTTACGTAAGTACATCAGTTTAATAGAACAGATTGCAGAATGTAATGTTACAGCTACAGAGAAGATGCAGAGAAAGGTCAACATTAATACATGGGAGCACATCTACTTTGTATCACGATTGTGACGCACATTTTTCTTTTATAAACTTCACTGTCAATATTTATAATAGAAATTGTCTACACTTTGTCATTCACCAATATGCTGGATGGCTTCACACTTCTATTTTGTAATGCCCAGTTCGTTAGTTTGTGCTGCAACAAAGCTTTTATACTTTGATCAACTTTACTGTTTAGTTAAAAGGGATATCAAAGCAAATACAGAATAGAGACCAAATGTATGAATTCACAATGCAAAGTCAATTACATCTGTGTGCCCTGCTGTTCTATCTGAAGACAACATTTTGTCTCGATCTCTCGTCTGTAAGTATGGAAGATGAATTAACAGACTTACAGTAAATTAGCACTTAATAAGTAAGTAAATTAACATTTTAGGTCAGGGCTTCCCAATTTAGAGCAGGGCTTCCCAAACTGTGGGTTTTTCCCTTCCCCCACCCCAGTCAGTTGAGAGGCTTTTCCAAATCTTTGTGTTTTTTTTGTCTGTGATTGTGGCCTAATGGAATGCTCTGGGTCTGGATTGCTGCTGCTGCAAAAAAAATGCCTGCAAATAATTAATGCTAATTTTTCCTTTGGCTCATCTGCTCATTCAGCCCCTCCCTCTATCTTTCTACCCTCAACCATCCCCAGATGCTGAACCCTCCCATGGTCAGAAGATGTTGTATTTTGCAAATTTTCACAGCTGAAGCGTTATAATGGAGCCACACCAGGACAGTGGATTGGGAAGCATTGGCTTAGAGGTATAACATAAGAGTGAGTGAAGAGGGAATTCCTACACTACTTTAAGTGCCCAATTTTAGCCAAGTTGCTGTGGGAATAGATGGTATGAACAATTACAACATTCAAAAGGCATCTGGATGGGTATATGAAAGGAAGGGTTTAGAGGGATGTGGGCCAAATGCTGGTAAATCAGTCTAGATTTGTTTAGGATATCTGGTCGGCGTGGACAAGTTGGATCGAGGGGCTGTTTCCTTGCTGTACATCTCTGTGACTCCATGACTTACCAGTAGCCACCTTTAAGTCCAAATAAATGCTTTGGCTTAAGAAAGCGTTGATGAATATATTCATGTTTAGATTGTCTTTAATTTGTTTTAACAAAAACACGTTCTGTTAATTGCATCATGTCGAAGACTCTCTGTAGGACAGTGTTCTCTAAGTGTGGTGTGTAGACTGTTGCTGGAGCGTGAGCTGGTCCAAAGTGCAAGCTACTGACACACAACAACACGGCTGTGACCATAGAACCTGCAACCATTTCTGAAGAAGGGGCCCGACCCAAAACATCAGCTTTCCTGCTCCTCTGATGCTGTCTGGCCTGCTGTGTTCCTCCAGCTCCACACTGTATTATCCCCACTATTCATGTTATGTCATACAATCAGACAGGCTCCTGTGTTTGTGGCACAAGTCGTCATAAATGCAAGCAATGTGGGCAAGATTTGTTACTATAGTTTTTGTTTGAGGAAAATAGATGTAGGTTAGGAAATTCCTCTAAAATCATTGTGATTTTTCTAACACGTTAGAATGTTTCAAGTGAAGATGTTCCTTTTCAGTACTAATGTTTAGAATATGAAAATATCTATACCTTTGTTTCTGGCCTGAATTAATTCACTTGTGCATAATTTTCTTAAATATTGCATGAATGTGTTACATTTAGTGGCAAGCCTGCAGCAAAATATTCATAGTTTCCATAGTTCCCATGAGTTCGGAGGTTTTTTTTGAGATCTCAAATGAAAATGGGTCAGCTAGAACACTTAAATGGTCTGCAAGGTTTTTGCCCCAGTATAGGGTGTCTGGATGGCAATGTTTGACACCCTTTGTTGAAAGAAATGAAAGCTTCTGGCAGATGTTTGCATTTCAGTTGTAGAAAAGTCAATAGTTTCATGGTGAAAAAATATGCGAACAAGTAGTATCAAGATTGAACAAGGAGCAATGGATAAATGGAGAATAATGGATGACTGGAAGTGGCTGCAATGTAGCTGAGGCTCAGATGGTTTATATGGAAAAATTCCTAAGTGTTTTTGTATGGATAACTAGCTAACACCTAAGGGGTTCAGATAATGTCATGAATCTCAAACTTTGTTCTGGTTCGTAAATAACTATGCCACGAGTTTGAAAGCCAGATCTGAATCCACACTGATTATTGTTTTTAAATATATGGGTAATTTTCATTTGGATGTACAATTTGTTTTCCTTTTTTGTTGTCAGTTGATAGAAAGGAAGGTATTCATTACGAATGACATTGTCAAAAGGGCCCCGCAATTATTTTCAATTTTGTTGTTGAATGGCAGGAATTTCTGAAGCCAGTAACATTGTAATATTGACTTAGTTACTTCAGTGCTTTGGGTGGTGGTTGTTCATCCGGACCTTTAAGTGCAGTTTGCGTGTGAACACAGCAACTGCAGTGCAGGAGTTATTGATGCCACCATGAACAAGCATTGCTGTGGTCTGGGACTAGGCTGTCTTTCAGAAAACGCCCTTTTCTTTTTGAATTGGTAAGGGTTTACAGAATGTGCTCTTGCATGGTGCATTGAGTATTGAGTGCACTATTATGGATATTGTTTTTGTAAATGTCAGCGGAATGAGACTTTAATGGGCTAACCTGTTTACTGTAATAACAATTTGACATGTAGGATTCTTAAGTGCATTTGCATGCTTTTTCGATATCAGAGTAGCCTTTCTTCTAAAAAAAAGTATCAATTAAAACACTTTCAGAAAGACAAAGTAAAACAAATTCTTTAATTTTTTAAAAAATAGAACAAAGAACAAAAGAGAAGTACAGCACAGGAACAGGCCCTTCAGCCCTCCAAGCCTGTGCTGATCATCATGCCCTAACGAAGCTTAAAAAAAAACTTTCTGCCCTTATTCAGTCTATATCCCGCTATTCCTCCCCTACTTATGTAACCATCCAGATGCCTCTTAAATGTCACCAATGTGCCTGCTTCCCCCATCTGTTCCAGCAGTGCGTTCCAGGCTCCTACCACTCTCTGCATGAAAATCTTCCCTCTCACATCTCCCTTCATCTTTCCTCCTCTCACCTTGAACCTGTGCCCCTTTGTAATTGAAACTTCAACCCTGGGGGAAAAAAGCCTCTGACTATCCACCCTATCTGTGCCTCTCATAATTTTGTAGACCTCTATCGGGTCTCCTCTCAGCCGCTATCTTTCCAGTGAAAACAATCCTAGACTTTTTAACCTTCCCTCCTAGCCAATGCCCTTAAGACCAGACAACATCCTGGTGAAACTTCTCTGCACTCTCTCCAAAGCTTCCAAGTCCTTCTGGTAGCGTGGTGACCAAAACTGCACACAATATATCAAATGTGGCCTAACAAGGGTTTAATACAGCTGCAACGTGGTTTGCCAACTCTTGTACTCCATGCCCTGGCTGACGAAGGCAAGCATGCCATGTGCCATTTTATTCACTTTGGCCACCTGTGTTGCCACTTTTAGGGAACTGTGGACCTGCATGCCCAGATCCGTCTGTATGTTAATGTTCCCTAAGGGTTCTGCCTTTTACAGTATAATTCACAACTTGATCCTCCAAAATGCATCACCTCGCATTTATCTGGATTAAACTCCATCTGCCATTTCTGTGCCCAAGTCGCCAATCTATCTATATCCTGTTGTATCCTTTCATAATGGTCAGCAACTCCACCAATCTTCATGTCATCTGCAATGTTACTAATCAGACCACCCAAATAAGCTGTTCTGAAGAAGGGTCGCTGGATGTGAAAGGTTAGCTCTTATTTCTGTCCACAGATTCTGCCAGATCTGTTGAGATTTTCCAGCAATTTCTATTTTTGTTTTTAAATTCTTTAAATCTTTCAACTTTAACTGATTTTAGAACTGCTTGTATTTTTTGTGCTGATTCACTCCTAATTTCCTCCCAAATTCTTTAAACCAATAATTAATTTAATATTACTGTTATTACAGTTACATTTAGTATGGTCAAGTGAAGAAAAATGTGTGAAACCTAAAATTATTGTACAGGAAATAGGATCAGGAATAGACCATGCAACCCCATGAGTCTGCTTCACCATTCCAAATGGTCATGCTTGGTCTTCTACCTTTGCTCCACTTACCTTTTCACTCTTCAAATCCCTTAATTTTACCAATAACCTGAACATTTCACTATCTGGCTCTTGAATATATTTTATGATTGAGCATCCACAACACTCTGAGTTTGAGAATTCCAAAAATTCACAAGCTTTTCAGTGAAGATATCCCCCTCATTTCAGTGCTAAATAATCATTCCCTGAGACCATGCCCATGTTCTAAATTCCTCAGTCAGGTGAAACAACCTCCCAGTATCTACCCTCATTCAGAATCTTTCATATTTCAATGAAATCACCTCTTGATTTTAAGTCTATGGGCCCAATTTACTCAGCTTTTTGTCTTAGAATACCTTTCTTATCCCAGGAATCGAACTAGTGTACAACCTCCAATGCATGTAT